GTATAACCTATATACTGTTAATAAAATAGTGACTTATACCAGAGAAGTTATATAATATATCTGTGTAGTTATTAGTATTTATAATAATTAGTTATATTATATAATCACACTTTTCTGAAAGCAGACTGACAAATTTATGTATAATAGCTTGCAGCCTAAGAATATACGGCTAGAGTGGCTCTAATTTATACCCGTATATCACTTCTAAAGTCGCTAATTATATAGAGGTAGTACACATCTTATTATATCCCATGTAAAGACTCATACTTCCCCAGAAATTTAAAAATTATTCTTATATACTCTTTAATTTATATCTCCACCCTAACTATAATATAAGAAAATATGTATAGTCCGACAGAGTTTACAGAATACAGTGTCTTTATATACAGTAAGATTGACAGTAAAGCCTCGCCTGATCGCCCTGGCACGCCCAGTTTATTTAAATACTACCTAACACTAAAAGACAGATGCAGCTCGGCTGCTAAGGTGTTACCTTCGAATATCCGGCACCTGAAAAAAGAGCATCTTACTAAAGCTAAGAAATATAAGAGAATAATATCTGAGGCTTTATTTTTCCAGGCTAAAAATCTGTAGCTCCGTCAAATTCAAAAATCTACTATTAACTTTTATAAAGGGACTGTTAATCCGACAGCAGAAGATCTTATCTAAGATATAGAGTAAATTCATATTACCCTGACTCAGTTTTATATTATCTTTAGAACTATTAAATAAGCTCTTTACTTTCTTAAGAAATATAAGATAGCTGATATTAAAGCCACTTTATAAGAACTTATAATTATATTTAAGATATACCGCAAGGGTCTGGACAAGATTTGCCAGGGGGCACTTAATCTGGAGAATAATTAAATATTATTTTTTAACCGGGTATTCCACTCAAACCAGAGCTACAAGAAGTTTTTTAGGATTAGCTATAATAAGGATCTATTTTGTGATTGTTAGCTTATAGATTATCTAGTATATATCTATACTTCATATAAACAGTCTTGTTGCGAGCCAGCCCTAAACATAGTACTATATCTACTTAAGGCCACAGCAGTTTTATAAAAATTCATATTAATATCTATCAGTCAGTCAGTTAGGGATTAGCTGATAACAACTCTATACCTGTAGTAGTGCTAAGGCTGATTACTTTTCCTCTAGATTTTATAAAAACTCAACCAGGGCAGGTATATAAGATATATCTAACTCAGAAAGTCGCCTTACAATTAGGGCTAAGGAGTAAAGGTTATTATAGTATTCTTACTAGCCACGGAGAAGACTATTTCCTATATTTACTATAATATATATAAAAATTATTATAGATAAATATATTCCTTTTATTTACCAAGCTTTACTATTCCGTGTAAATTAAAACAAATATTTTTAACTTAAATCTCTCTATAAGAGATCCCTAGTATATTATAAATATATTTTAGAGCTGACAGAGTACTATAACATACCGCAGCTATTTTAGCTATACCCTAGTATAGACAAAAACTTAGGATATCTTTCAGTAATACCACAGTGGTTTCATATATAATTATAATATATACATCCTCAATATAGAGGCAACATAAGTTCACTATATTTCAGTAAATAACTGGCCTGAAATCGACATGCATATAATTTTATAGTTTAATCTAATAAATAAATACCATAGTATGGGGGTAGACCTTCAGAAACACTAAATAATAACCTGGACCTAAAATTGCTTTATATTAGTAGTACTCCCAGGGATTAACCCCGGCCTACTTAAAAATAATATCCTCTAACCTAGCAGTACTTAAAGGGTTAATCGGTGCTAGCTTTATAGTTTTATTTAAAAAATTTCGGATATCTTAAATTCTGCCTTTATTTACTGCTGCTATTATGAGATAAATCCTAGATAATAAACTAATATAAGATTATTTACTCTCTGGGATATATATATATATAATATAAATAAGCTTATGCAGATAATTTTTTGGTAGATAGCTTTAGACTAGAACTAAGAAATACACATAGGGCATACCCCGTGGGTATGCCCCGTGGGTATGCCCTGTGGGTATACCCACAGGTACACAAGTAGGCAGTAGGGAGTTCCGTTATGTAATATTATAAAAGAACTAGTATTACTCCAGATTAAGGGATTAGTAGTAAGGCGGGTACTATAACCTGTCCGGGTTAGAAAAAGGATATCCCGATCTGCCTAACCAGGTTTCAGGAAGGCACTCCACAGGGGGTGCGGCTTATTATAGATAGAAAAAAAGTTAGTATAAGTAAAAAATCTCTTTTTTTAAATCTTCCCCTAAATCAACAGATAAGCCCGTGATTATCACAGAACAGTATTTATATAATATTATAACTACTCAGAAGTATTACTAAATCCTAGCACTCAACTATGCTATTTACTAAATTTTCACTACTACACTAGAAATAAATATATCTGATCTTTCAGACTAGAATATCCTACATATTAAGGGTAATATGTTTATAGGTTATACATATGTTTCTTTTAATTATCTAGATTTTTCTACTTCAAGTGGTCATATTTTTAATAAGAGAAACATAATATGCCTTATTAATATCTATAATAGTGCCGGTTATAAACAATTAGAGCTTATACACTAGATACCTATTTTAATTTCTGTTAGTAAATTAGAACAGATTCTCTAAAATAATAACCTCTCTTATTTATTTCTAACTCCGAATAATCTTCCGCTTATTTAAATACCAGATAATACATTTCTACACGTCCTGTCCGGAAGATATCGCTGTAAGGCTACTAAGAAATTTTTTACTAGCTTATAAGATTACTAGTGGATAGTCACACTTTTAAACAAAGATAGTAATAAGGCCTTTGTTTAAACAATTAATAATACTTACTTATATAAATAATAGTCCCGCCGGCTTTCCTTACTATGTTAGCCAAAGAGTTTGACAATATAATACTATACCTAGATAATAAACTATATAATAAAATTCAGATATATTATCTTACACATCAATGGGCATAATCTGTTAAATAGAAAAGTTGAATTATTTCTAGCTCTAAAAGGCGGGACTATAATCACCTGTATAAAAACCAAGTATATAAGCCTCTTTGTAATACTCTGGATATGCTGCTCTAGTTTCCGGCTATTATTATTTTATTTTATCTCGGAAATATTCGATGATTCTTTAGAATGAAGTGTAGCGAGGAACTAGCTATATATATAAAATATATTTTTAGCATGTGGACTAAAATCATATATAGAATACCAGGATATCTGCTAAATATTATCTCAGTTACTTATTTTCAAGGTCGCTGTCCAAGATGGTCTTCTACTGATAAAAACTATATTAATATCCTTTTTGTAAGTAGAAGGCTATTTGCTGATGTGTAAGATCTTATATATTATACTTTACTAAAAGAACAGTTATTTGTATTTAACAGTATTATTCCATCTATCACTACATTCCTAGAGAATACTAAGTACTTAGAGCCAGCGGCTATATTACTCAGAGCTCTTCTTCTTTATAAGTTCACAGGAATACTATGCCAGCAGATAATGTATCATTTTAGCCCTAATATAAGGTTAGGTAAAAGATTTTAGCCAGGATACTAGTGAATTTAGCTTATAGCTCTCCGTATATTCCTTTTTATAACGATATTTAAACCCCTACAGGACAAGAGAAGTTATAAAGCATACTTTGATAGTGATTATTGGGGCCTTCTAGCATATTCTACACTAGATTATAGCTTTGATTCTCCTATAATTCAGTAGATTATTAGCCATTATCCTACTTCAGATACACTACCTAAACTTCTTATAGACCCGAAACTATCTACCAATATAAGTCAGAGATAGAAATTAAGGCAATGATATAGCATGCCAACAGAAAATATATTTAATAATATTAGTCTTTATTTGTGTTTAAAAAACATGCAGCGTGTTTTATTACCGGAGCCAGGAGCAGTAGCTATTAGTATATTTACTATTGCACGTGAAATATTTATGTTTTTCTTTAATAAGAATAGGGAGATTTTTACTAATACTCACAATAAAGCATCCCCGACAGAGCAAAATTACGAGCCTAAACTAACAGAGTTCTCTATTATAAATATAATAATAGACAATCCAGAGAGCCAAGAAGATATATTATTATAAAATAATTAATAGCTAGAGCAGCATCCCGCAGCACAAAATAAGTATATAAATTTATCGCAAAAGATCTTAGTCAACAAAAATACAGAACCCCAAATAAATAAACAAAACAGACCGCCTGCTCTACCTTTACTACCATTTAATCTACCTAACAGCCAACCACAACCCTCAGGAGAAGTGACACTATTTTTAGTTCCAGACATAAAAAATATATTTAATATATAATTAATATAGGTTATACCTGAGCATAATACAGCGAATATCCAGATTTTATAAATAATAATATTATTTCCTGTTATAGCCAATCCTGAAGCTGTAATTCCAAATTTAAGTACTTTTAATATTTATATTTAGGAGAATGCGGTAACTAGAGAAAAGGTGGAAATATATCCTAACAAGATAAAAGATTATTTTAAAACTTTAGACACTAAGTACAGCATTTATATTTATAACAAGGCAGTCCTATATTATTTTAATAAAGCATCACTTTCTCTATTAAAGAATTTTACTTTTGAAAAAGAAAGATAGTGGTTTACATATTATAACAATTAGAGGCTTATCACAGTAAATCAGGAAGAAATATAATCTTTTATATAAACAGCAACCTTCATACTATATAGTAATAAGCTAAGTAGTTTCTATAATACGGGAAAGGACATGTAAGAACCAGATAAGCTATAACTATATTTTAGCCTATAATATAGTCTATAATATATCTTATGCACTGGCTTACGCTTAGGTGGCCTATGCTGTAATTTATAATAATAAGCCTAAGCCATAGCCCAGTTCTCGCTGGCCTACACCCATGGGGCCTGAGCCATAGCCCAGTTCTCGCTGGCCTACGCCCATGGGGCCTGGGCCATAGTCTAGTTCTCATTGGCCTACGCCCATGGGGCCTGAGCCATAGTCCTGTTCTCGCCGGCCTACGCCCATGGGGCCTGGGCCATAGTCCAGTTCTCGCCGGCCTACGCCCATGGGGCCTGGGCCATAGTCCAGTTCTCGCCGGCCTACGCCCATGGGGCCTGAGCCATAGTCCAGTTCTCGTTGGCCTACGCCCATGGGGCCTGGGCCATAGTCCAGTTTTCGCCGGCCTACGCCCATGGGGCCTGGGCCATAGTCCAGTTTTCGCCGGCCTACGCCCATGGGGCCTGGGCCATGGCCCTGTTCTCGTTGGCCTACGCCCATGGGGCCTGGGCCATAGTCCAGTTCTCGCCGGCCTACGCCCATGGGGCCTGGGCCATAGTCCAGTTCTCGCCGGCCTACGCCCATAGGGCCTGGGCCATGGCCCTGTTCTCGTTGGCCTACGCCCATGGGGCCTGAGCCATAGTCCAGTTCTCATTAGCCTACGCCCATGGGGCCTGAGCCATAGTCTACTTCTTGGGCCTACGCCCATGGGGCCTATGCTGTAATTGATTATTATAAACCTATGTCTATAAATAGCGCATGTTTAAAATATGCCACTTTAAAATATATCTAGTATATTATATACAAGAACTCCAGGACTATCAATAAAATCATATAGGCCTCTTCTAATCATATGGGAGAAAAATGTTCTCTGCGTAAAGTTAGCTTTTAGTATATTGCCATATAGATATAACTGATTATTTGCTTTGGCAAAGGCAGCCAGCTTTTTAAAGAACTACTATTATAGATAATAATATATTTACTCTTGTATTAGATTGCCAGATATATCTTATACTGTTTAGCTAAAGATTATATAATAAACTTATTAGCAGCCTTTAACAGGCGCACTTTCTTTCCTTTAAATAAAATCTTAGGCTTATAAGATATACACTATAACAGAATATAAATTTTACACAATCATAGTTTAAAATATTAAGAAGGCAGCCATTCAGTCTTATAATTTTTATATATTAGTATTTCTCCCTCTGGGCCTTAAATAACCAAATAAACCTTATAGTAAAAGAGCTTATTAATCTTATTACTTTGCCTAACAAGCCAAGCAGAGGCTTTTTTAAACCGCGACCTTTTATTCTTTCGGCACCACTTTTCCTATAAAATACTATTTATTTTTATTTAGTCAGAAAATAGGAGAAAAGATCTGGTTAATAGTACCCTATCTATCTTATATATATTTCTCTCTTAAGCGCCTGTGTATATTAAACAAAAATAGATCTTCTTATTATTTATTTAATCTGCCTGGGTAGTCTAATAGGCCTGCTTTTCTTCCGGGCATGCCTGGGTTTTATCTGTCCATAGTTCCCCCCTCGGTTCTTAGCTGTAGCCCTGTATTAATAGTCTTTATTATCACTCTCTTAGGGGCTTTTATGGTATTAAAGCTATAATAAATTAATATTACAGCTAATATATTGGCCAGGCACTATATTATATAATATAATTAGTATAAAAGGGTTAATTAAGGCTAGTATATAGGCAGTATCTCTGGCCATACTTAACTTTATTATCCTCCTTGCGGGCTCAAGGCTGCACCTGGTCGCTAATATTCTAGGGCTTAACCTGAACATATTTATCTTTATATATTATATGGCTGGCTAGATGGCTATATTACAGATATTAGTTTATATAATAATAGCCAATCAAACTATTAATATATATTAGTTAACTCTAGGATATCGCAAAGGGATCATGGCAAGACAGCCTCTATTTAATATATATAGTATGCTAATTATTACAGGGTACTTTATTTATTACCGCTCTTATTCTAGCCTTTATAAAGCCTGTTCGGCAATATATATATAAAATATTTGCTATACTATACTACAGTCTCAGTATCTGCTGCCTTATATTTTCCTGGATTTATATCCTCTGTATAAAAGCTGATCTATCGCCTTAGCCGCCTAACTTTAGTATTAGCTGCTTAGAAGCTACTAGTCTATTATTTTTTTTTAATATTCTTATCTAGTTCGGAAAAGTAGTATATTATAACTTTTAATTTAGTAAGCCCTTACTAATTACTAGGGTATATTAATACCACTAGAGCAATAACAGTAGCAGAGAAGTATCATACTTATTTAAGCTATATATACAGTTATTACACAGATAGGATGTTCATGCTGGTCAGACAGTATATATATATTTATAAATTATAAAGCTTAGGTCTTTTATACAAGCCCACTTATTCTCTGTTACCTAGTGGGATAGTCCAGGGCTCGCATGCCGCGCTTATAGACCCCTAGATAACAAAATATTAAAAAACCTGGGGAGTCTAGAGCAGAATATAGAGCTTAAATCTACTAAAAAAGATCAGAATAGATCTTCTATTATCTGGTTAATTATACAGCCGCAATAAGGACTTACGAGAGACCTCACTACCTATACTTCTTATACTAACTTAAGAGTAATTATTAATAGGCCTTACGGTGTTAATTCAAGTTTAGAACACTTCAGCCATATCATAATATTTACACAAGGAATTAGTATTACTGCATAAATACCATATATTAAGGAGGCTTTTTATAGCTCTCTTATAGGGAGACTTCCTACACATCAGATTTTACTAATCTGGGAGGCGTAAAAAGGTATATTTCACCAGATACTGTAAAGCATAACATACTAACCTCTTCCTAAAAGATCTTCCTATTATACAAAAATAAATAATCCACCTCTTAAAAGAGGACCATAATAATTATAATAAAATATTAGTAAGAAATTATACACTACTGTATATAACTGTTTCTGATATATGCTTAAATACTAGATATTTAATTATATATTATTAACCAAGTCGGAAGCCTACATTATGGCCGACGAGTAAAAAGGTTCTCTAGTACTATTAACATAGCATCTGTGCTCAGAGAAAAACTTAAGTCATACCGTGGTAAAATATTAATAATAGGTAAGTATCTATCCTAATTGAGCTCTTCTTATTAACATCTTTAGTTTCTGCTAATTATTAATTTATTTTTTCTCTAAAAAAATATTTATTAGAGCAGACCAAGCAGAATCACTTGGAGAAAGAAGTTAAATTATTATATCTGGATTTTCAGCTACACAAAGTGCCAAGCCGGACCCAGCAGATGATAGTAGGAATATAAAAGGATAGTTAAAGCAGACTATGCGCAGTTATTCCCGGGTGTAGTATATAAATATATTGTCTTCCCAAATCTTAGTAAGCCAAAAGAGATTAAAATTAAATATTATTTCTTATTTAATACTTATCATATTACTATAAAATCACCATAATCTACATAGCTAGACTTATTAACATCTAATTTTAAGAGTAAAGGTTTAACCTGGTCTTTTATAATAATAGCAAAACTACCACTCCACCTATATTATATAGAGCAGTATCAACAAGCCGGTAGCCTCATAGTCAAGCTTTTTAAAGCACAACACAAGCCTACAGATATAGAGGAGGCAGATACAATTTATCGCGAACTTTTTATAATTAATAAAAAAATATACCAGTACAATATTAAGCACAGTGTAAACACTAAGATGGGAATTATCGATCTTAATATATTCCTGTATGTATGGAAGGTAGAGGCCTCAGAGACCTATTTAGAGTATTTCTGCCAACTTTATTACTATCCTATAGATTAGGCCTACCTGCCGCCCAGGTCTGGCGCCAAATATTATCTATATAGGCCCGGTTACTAGACAGACTGTGACTAGGAAATATTAGAGCTGCTTTTACAATGTGTGTGGAGGCTGTGGATAGCAAAATCACTAGATAGTATTATTAAGGAAGTCGAATTTATTTTAATAAAGTTTAAATCAGACTTTAACTAATATATAAATTAACTACACAAGACATATGAGTACCCTTCCCCTTAGATAAATATTAGATTTCTCGAGGCAGATTATTTATTTAGTATGTACCGGGAGCTGGCAACATATCTGTATGATGAAAATATTAGGACTTATGCAGAATACCGCGAAAAGCTTCGGATAGAGTGTGTGTTAAACGGGTACCCTGGGAGCTAGGTACCTGGTCAGTTTAAGGAGGAAAAGAAGTAGATAGACTATATGTTTTACCTGGTTTCTATTAAAAATAGCAATAAGCAGATTGGTTATTACTTGAAAACATAGTATTCTACTTAACTGATTAAACTGACAGAGTTCACAGGGATAGTCCATCAGTTACTTACCTTAATTTGATTATGGAAAATAATATTAAAATAAGTTAAGCTAGCAATTAAATTGACTAAATAATATTCAATTACACTCGATCTCGAAATCGGCTTGACCGATACACACAGAGAAACTCTTTCCCGGTCCCACCGCCAAGACCTTAGCACAGATCATTTATTAAGCGGGCTGCATCAAACTGAGGGGCTCAGTAAGATGCGTCGTGTATATTACAGTAATATGTAACATAGATTACATTACGTGTATGAAAGGAAAACCCATGGGATTCCATAGAATTCTATAGTGGGTTTTTAAAAGTCATGTGGGGAAAGGCCACCTTGTGTAAGTAACTTGATAATCTGCTGGGAGGCGTCTATTTCCCACTCCTCTTCCTTTGGATGGTGTGTGCTAGTCATCACTTACGAGGTATCTCTTTAACCCAGAGAACCTTAATAAGTGATATTAGTAACTGAGGACTATTCTGACCTGTTAGCGGTTGTTTATAGGTGAATAATACTCTTAACAGTACTGAATGGTGTAAGCCTTAATTAATTATTACTTATCTTTAGTCTGTTATTATTATAGGCCTAAGAAAATAACTGCTAGTTCCCTCATTAGCTATAATAGTTATAGTGTTTAATATCTTAACCCGTGGGTTAATATATTATAATATATACTAATACCTGGCAACTTCTATTAGTTAACTGCCTCCCCGTCCGATATAAGCTGTATAAACATTAATCCCGTCTCCCCTATTAATTATGCCTCTCCCAAACAACCTGCTTCACAAAAGAATAGTGTTCCTTTACTCCAGTATAGTGATTAGGAGGAAGATCAAATATATAACAAGGATCCACCGACTAGTATCCATTATTTAATTAAGTAGAAGATCACTCTGAATAACAGAACAGTGGCTAAAGATACAGAACAAGATCTGGTTCTAGCCCCTTGATATTATTAGAGGCTTTTTTTATAACTAAAACTAAAAAAGCTACTTTTATAAAAATATCTGTATCGAAAACTTAAATCAGATAATATATCTATTATCGTGTCCGCCACTCGGCAGAAGGGCTTGACTCTGAGATTTAATAAAACTAATATTAATTAGACCTTTATAGAAAAATAGCTTTTGGATTAGGATAATCTTTTTCTTATTAGTAAGAAACTGAGGCTGGTTATCTTATTTAATTATATAGAGAATATCTTTAGCTTAAATGTAAGCAGTAGGACTATTAATAAATAGAGCACTTTATCTACTACCTAGTAAATACTTTAAGAGTAAG